GACTTTAGTCAAAACTGTAACACATTCTATATTGTTGTTGAACCTGTGTTATCGCAACTGTTTTCCTTCTTCATTACCCTGTTATCGCTGCCATGATACTGTAACATCATGTTATTGTTGCTGCTATTATACCACAACTTCATTACTGATGACCATTTTTATTCAGCAATTGAGATTGTCATTTCGCTAAAACCTAACATTAAGAAATATACCCTTGTGTTCTGTGAACAAAAAATATTTAGTGAATCTGTATTCTGTTTTTGTAAATTTTAAAGGATTTATGGGAATATGTATTTTTCATGATATTTTGTAGACTGTTATCGCTGCCATGATACATTCTATAAAATTACAATAACATCAACAGTTATATACTGTTCAGGTTAATAACATGAACTGCAAAATAACAATAAAATGTCTTGCCAACATTTACTGTTAATTTACTGTAATTCAACTTACAGTAATATACAGTTAATATAATAATGATAAATCAGAAACTTCAAAATTCAACATTCTCCCTTGCTGGAATGTCAGCCAGTTGTCTCAGTTTTTGATGGAGATGTACCAGCAGCCTCTCCGCAACCCTGCAGTGACAAATGGGCTGGCTGGATGGATTTGGAAACAAAAGGGTAAAACCTTCATGCAAATGTAAATGTGTTTAATGGTACTATACACTATGAAGTAGTCAGATTTTACTGTTTATAATTGTAAATTATGGTGATGTGTGACTTTCATAAAACAGCTGTGCTAAATATAAAGTTTAGGCAAGTATATTTGCAGAGTGACATACTCCAATCTCTGTGTATTTATATTGGTCTGATACTTTAGAACAACCAGATACCAAGTAATTATAATTGTTTTTAAAGAACAATTGAAATACATAAACATAATTGGTCAGCATGATACAGTTGGCATTTATGTTTTTATGCTGAAACACAAGCTGAGAGGTAAATGGCAGAACTGATGAGGCTTCTGGAAATTTATCAGGGTGGGGAAAAAAATGAAGAGAACACTGGGTATGGATTTATAGGAGTCCGCTGCCACATTTTGTAAATACCCGTAAGACAAAAACAACAACAAAAAAGCAGTTCAAACACCCTTTAATGAAAGCACCACAAATAAACAACACACCCAAAATTAGCTTACATCAGAGCTGTTCAAAATCAACGTTCAGGACTGCTTAAAAAGAAAGAAAGGTTTGTTCCACAGCATCAAGCATGAAGCAGTTTATTATAGAAAACAGCAGAAACCGAAGCGCTGCTTCGAGTTAGAAAGACGGTGATATGAAAGCGGTAGCTCCACTACAGCGGCTTTCTTCACTTGCTCTTGACGGGTTTCTCGGTTTTCTTCGGGAGGAGGACAGCCTGGATGTTGGGCAGGACCCCCCCTTGAGCGATGGTCACACCTCCTAGTAGCTTGTTGAGCTCCTCGTCGTTGCGCACGGCAAGCTGCAGGTGGCGGGGGATGATCCGGGTCTTCTTGTTGTCCCTCGCCGCGTTGCCTGCCAGCTCCAGGATCTCGGCGGTCAAATACTCCAGCACCGCCGCCAGATATACCGGGGCTCCGGCGCCGACGCGCTCTGCGTAGTTCCCTTTGCGGAGCAGCCTGTGGACTCGACCAACCGGGAACTGGAGCCCGGCTCGAGAGGATCGAGATTTGGCCTTGGCTCTGGCTTTGCCTCCGGTCTTCCCTCTGCCAGACATGGCTACAGATGGTGGTTTATCCCAGAGCGGTGCGAGGAAACGCCTCAACCTTTATGTGGCGTAACTTGGTGACTGATGATGTCTCCTGTCCCGGTGTTCATCACGTATCAGTGAGACGCACGACTGTAAATCCGTTGCAGCAATACGTTAACCCCTCCGCCATATTGAGAGAGGAACACAGGGCGGTCTTGTGAGCGAGGAGATGCAGTTTTCACATGGTTTACTTCTTCGACTAACCCTAAAAATTAAGCGAGTATTACCAAGCTGTTTTAAAGATAAACCTTATCGAGTCTACAGTACTGATTAACTCTACGGTTATAACCAGTAGATCACAGTAGCTACCAAGACTAAAACAGCTTTTCTCTTCAATTCTACATTTGAATTGAAATATTTAAAATTGTCCTCTACTGGAGCCCAGCTCCAGGAACCTAGAATTTAATGATCAAATGATTTCAGCTGGATTCTCAGACAGCTCCATATGTGCTAATAGCAGATTGCACTGAATCTGGTCTTACTGTGCCATTGCAACCATGAAGTGTAAATAATTTTTAGTGACTTGCAGTCAGATGTGAACTGGAATGTCCCATATGTTGTTCATTATATGAATAACTTTATCTGGATTTTCAGCACTATCACTAAACTCCCAGCTCCACAGTCTTTACTGATCCAAGAATTAGAAATATCCAGAAAACATTTCAACCTGCAAAATACTATTTTACCATCAGAATATCTGGATTCCATTTATTTGTTTGTGAATGGAATTTATGTCACTTATTTTGGAACTAGGTAGACCACTTTTGTTTAAAAGTTGAAATGTCTCATGAGATCATGATACACAATGAGCCGCATGGCTCGCTGCATAGGGCAGGTAGGGTTCCATGCGGCTGTCCTGAGTCCCGCTCCTCATCCGAGACCTCTTGCTGCATGAGTCAACCTACTCTTCTATAAAATACCATTAGCAGAACTACATGTTTAAAGACATGGAGCTTCAGGAAAACTTTCAAGCAATTCAAACCACTTCCTTTTCCCTTTAAATCTGCCATTTATTTTTTCATGAAGGGTATTGCCAGTTGAGAAAAAAAGTAAAACAGTGATGGAGGTAGGTGTGTATGTGCCAATAAACAGAACACTTCCATATGGTTGTCCTGGTCAAAAAAGTTCCGATGTTTAAAAGGTACACTTTTAATGGTTATGGTTTCCCCTCAACAACCAAGTTATGAGTTGGTCTAAGGAAGTAATTCATCATGCAATAAGTCAGATACGTTTCCACCCAAAATAGAGCATAGGTACAGCTGTGTTGGCTACTTGCACCATGGATGGCATTAGAAAGTTGCTAGGCTTTTAAAAATATCCTAGAACGGAATCTAATCAGATGTTGCTATGGACTCAGGGACATGTTCAACTTTTTCAGTCACTCCAAAGTAAAATCAAGCATGGGTTCATACTAAAAAAAAAAAAAAAAACTTTATTCATGGTTTAGAAACAAACATTTCATCTCTTCTTACTGCCTTTAGTTATTTCCTTCAAAGAACCACAAATCAAACCCAAAGTTGGTTTGTGGTTTATCTTAACAAATCCCATTATTTCTATTATTATGCACCAAACAGTGCACACACACACTACAGCCATGAAGTGAAAAATGGGACTGTATAAGCTCAATGTGACACATTGGTCTAAATTCCCAATATTACAGGAGGGGCCTGATGTTACGTCAGTCTTTTGATTAGTCTACAACTAAAAGCAACTCTGGAGTTTTAAACGTAGAACTCACATTTTATTGGCTACTGGGTTCTATATGAGCATCTCTCCTTTCTCTGACCAGACTGAGACAGAACCAGTTTTACTGTGCTGAGATAGGTCTTTTCAGTTCTCAAGACAACTGGCAACAGCTCAGATTTAGCACAAGAACCAGTTTAAAGAGAAATAAAAACAACAAAAAACCCACTCTGGATATATAACAGTGAAAACCAATGACACTTCTCCACAGATATATTTACCATTCACACCTTTAAGTAAGAGAAAGACTGACTGATGAGCAGACCTGATGGCTGGACCAATTATTTGCAATACTTATAGCTTCATAGCTATATGACGGACCACACCAGGTCAAGTATTTTTCTTTTAATAAAGCTCAATCGCATCTATGATGGTAATTAGAACCAAAAAATGGATGCTAGCATACCGACTGAGCTCCGCTAATGTGGAGTCCACTAGGCATCGATATCTCCAATATTCATATGATTCAGTGAAAATGCTGCTGGACATCTGGAGATGCTGCTTCAAGTATTCCAGTTTGTTGATGCATTAAAATTGGGCCTGTTCATTCAAGCTTGTCTCAGCAAATGTCAGATTTATAATAAACATGGTGATTACTGCTGATATACTTAAATATAAAGTTTGCCTCATCTCTGTTCATTGTTTTTGTTTTTATGCAAATATAACTCTAGAGCTTTTAAATTTTCAATTTTGTGCCAAATAAAACAAAATTAAAAGGTTATTTTATTAAATGCCAGTCTGTCCAATGGAACCATAGCTGCTGTGGGTGATGCCAGAGGAATTTCAAACCATTCCAGACCAACTGGTCAGCCAAGGTTAAATCATTTAAACATTTCAAAATGATTTGAAAAACAGAGACCTAGATTTTAAACTTGACATATTTTGTGCAGTATTTCAGGGCACCAATGGTTTCTCAGGCTGTATTTATTCATAACCTACTTCTTCAAAATGTCCAATGCTCACAAACTCCAAAGAGACCAGAAGATATGATGGGACAAAGTGGTAGGGAGGGAAGAGGTGGAAGGAATATTCTCCAGTCTTTAACCAGAATCAGCCCAGCAACTGAACAAACAGGGCAATAAAAAAATCCAAAATTAAAAAAAGGCAAACAAAGTTGAAAATGTCTCAATAAATAGTGATTTTCTTTTCCCGCCTTAGGTCCAGTTGTTATAATTCATCTTCTACATGGTTTCCATGTGTAGCACTCTCTGCAGACTCTAAACAGGAACAAACAGGATGAGACGGTTAGGCCTGGATTTACTAAACTTTAAAGGAACTCTGCTGTTATATATTTACTTGTTTTCACTCAGAGCAGTCAGTTATCTCAGCTGGTTAGATGCCAAATCTGGTTTTAGAGGCACCTCAAGACCAATTCCATACTGCTGTTGCTGACTTGAGAAAGTACTGCTGTACACAATCCAGTGGCAAATGCTTGACTTTAATTAAGAACTTACTCAAATGTGTCCCCTGCTGTCACAAGTTGCATCTCAACTGTTTTGTTTTGTTGGTTTTTTTGCAGTTGGTCATGCAACCCTAAAGTTTTAGCTACCGTATGTTGTTAAATGTCTTCTACATCGCAGATGCCCCCTTTCTGTTTCAGTGATATAAAAATCTGTTTTACAATTTCTCAGATCTGATTTTGTAAACTTTATTATAGTTAATGATCATTTGCTTTAAAGTTTGAACTCTTTGCTTCATAAGTCTATCTCATAGACTATCAATTTACTTTTGTTTGAATTTTTTTCTGTTTTTGGAACTAAACCATTGGATAAAATGTATCATTTTACTACAACAGCTACATTCTTCACTTCATCAATGTCCTAGTCCAAGGGTCTGCAACCCTTGGCTCCGGAGCCTTAAGTGGCTCTTTAGACCTTCCACAATGGCTCCTGATAGCTTTAGCTAAAAATAATCAAGAATCAACTAATGTTATTAAATATATAGACAATATCAAATGCAGGTGTTGGCAGTTTGTTTCCACAGAGTTACAACAATGAATTTCCACAACAGACTGACATTAAAGTCACATTTTTCTTACCAGTTTGGAAGCTATGTGCGTTGTTCAAATAATTTTCCTCAAATATCAGCATCCCATAGAAAAAATGTTTCCATACTCTTTTTGCAATTTTTAAAAATCTTTTTTCCCCTAATGCCTAATCTTTATTTCAAAACCTCAAAATAATGACATTAATAATAAAAAATTTGCAGTTCTTCAAAAATAAATTTTCTTTATTTTGATATTTTTTGAAAATAAGTTGTCCGTTTTTCAAAAAGTCATAGCATTTGTGCCTCTAAACTGGTTTTAATTAGGTTGGACAAAAATGTCTCTTTCTAAAAGTTGCAGACCCATGTCCTAATCTTGGAAATGTCATGTTTCAGAATTCTTAATGTGTTTCCTTCGAAGTTGAGTAACACCTAAACAGTACATGCAGCCACATGCTCAGAAAAACATTCAATAAAGAAAAAGTTTCTGTTATTTTGTGATGCAGTGAATTTTACTTTGCTTTTCCGTGTTACCTCTGTTATTGTGGATTTCTCTCCAGTATTGTGACAGACTAACCTTTGCTCAGGGTCTCTTCTATGGGTTGTGATTGGCTGTCAGTAGCTGTATGTGGAGTGCTCTCTTCAGTGGGCGGGGATTCACCTGGCTTCTGTTCTTCTAAGCTTTCTGCTGTGAGACAAAAACATTCTATGAAGTCTAACACACAACAAGTACAACTAATAGTGGGACCTGCTCTGCTAATAACCCACCGGTCTTTGGGTTCTTGCTTTCCTCTGTGGGAGGAATAACTTTTTCTTCTGTTGTGGCATTGACTTTGTTGCCTGCATCGGTGCTCGTCTCATTCTTGGCTTTAGGTTTAGGCTTTGGCTTTGCGAACTTGGCTTTGTTCAGCAGGTAATTCATTTCCCGCTGCAGCAGGAGCAGCTTAGACTCAATGTCTCTGGACAGCAGGACTGGCCGCTCATGTGGAGATCGCTTCTCCTGCTCTGCCACCGTTTCGTTTTTCCAAACCTGTAGCAGAAAAATACCAAAAATGAAGGCCAGTTCACCAGAACTAAAGAGAGGGCTACATATGTTTTAGCTGTGCAACTAAGACAATAACAGAATACATTGAACAAAAAAGAGACAAAACCCACAGTGGGGTAAGACAGTTCAAATTGATGTGGCCTTTCCCAGAAATAAACCAACAGAGAAAACTGCAGGAATGAGATTTCCTGATAATCTGCAGCACAACGCCTTCAATCTCACAACAACACAGATTGACATGAACCACCTACCGTAGTTTCATTGATAACTTTTTCCAACATATTTAGCTCAACTTCTGTAAATATTTGGTCATCCCCTGGAATCAGTTTGGCACCCCTGTGAAACAAGGAGAGCTCAATCAAAAACCACACAGAAATGGATTCACACAGCTGAGTTCAAAATAGTGCTTTAAGCAAGTACATGTCTTCTTTATGTGGAGACAGATGCATTGAGAACAAGACACATGTGAGGAAAACAGCCGTGTCAAAATTTACAAGCTCTAGTCTTTACTGAGAGAAGGAAAAATGCTTGAATATTTAGTTTCCTGTGATTGTTCAAGTGTATAGGCACCACAACCACTAACAAGTATTCCAGCAAAGGATGATCAAAGTACTTTCTACAATTTCTCAACACTTCTGGACTTTGTCTTTAGAGATAAGTTTTCTACTAGTTTGAGGTCTGAGGATTTCACTCCATGAGGTTCATGTTTGTCTGTGACATCAACATCATAAAGCATCATATAGAGTCACAGTGAACTGAACTCAAGCGTTTTGGGTCTCTGCTAAACTGGCTTCAAATAGCTTCTATCTTCTGCAGTTGCTATGGGTTACATTTCACCCATAGTGACTGGCACGGTTTGTGGTGTTGGACTGACCTAAGGAAAAAGTTGGATGTGTTGAGTGTGTTGTCGAGGTCAGTCAGCAGCTCCGGCCACTTCCTTCGCTCCGCCACCCTGAAGAACACGTCCTTACACAACCCTTTGAGCTGAGACAGCTTCTCCTTCAGCTGCCTGGTGGTGGCACCATAGCCCTCCTCGTCCAACCAGTCGGAAGCCTCCTTCAGTTTGCTCAAAATCTGCTCCTGCTCCTCCTCCGTCACCACCTGCTGGTGGTCCTCCTGGTACAGCTTGTCCTACAGACATCAGGCGGCACATGCAGCGCTGGTTCAGACAGGAGAAAAGCTTCAGCAACGGCCGGCATCGAGCTGCAGTAACTAACCTGCGTCTCAAAGATAAATGCTTCCAGACTGTTCAGGATCTTCTCCCTTTCCTGCTTTGCTAGATCTCTGTCTGTCAAGTCCTGGAGCCTGGAGAGAGCCGAAACTTTGCTTTCTCTGATTGCACCAATAATATTGCATTGTAGGAATAAGAAGTTTAACACCTACTTCTTTTTTGAGGAAATTAGGTCATCAGCGGTGGGGTCCATAATGTCATTGATGAGAAGTTCCATGGGGACATCTTCGGATATCTTGGTTCTTTTCTGAGGTTTTGTCTTTTTCTCCGTCTCGGCATTTTCTGATTTCTGGTCACCTTTTTCCTGCTGAATGATGACAGAAAGTTTTTATAACAGCTGTTGCAGACACCCAAACAACAATATGAGGTCACAGATAATTGGTTAAAACTGTGGAGAGTGACTCATTTTACCGGAGTCTCTGTTTTACTGGTTGTGTCCTCTGGTTTCTCCTCGTTTTTCTCTTCTGTTGGACTTTTCACTGAATCATTTTTAGTCTCATTGTCCTTGTCCTCATTTTTCTGGGCCTCATTACTCTCCTTCCCAGACTCAGGAGGAACTTCCTCTTCCTCCTTATTAGAGACAGATGCTCATGTTCATCCCCAGGCCTCACATTATGATGTTTGTCGCCTTGGGCGGACCACATCACTGAGGGACACTTACCTGAATGGGTTCGGATACATTTGAAGTTGGCTCAGAGGACCCTCCTCCAAACAGCGTGGAAATGGTATTGCCCAGTTCTGACAAAAAGCAAAACTTTAGTTTTAATTAGAAGTAATTTGTCATTATGATAATTTAAACACAGTTCAATTTGTACATGTGATTTAGTTGATAAATGAACTTAACAGTAGGCCTTTAGCTTACTCTGGAACAATTCTTATAATGTTCACAGTCGAGCCGGATATTGTTATTGATAATATATATCGTGATAGACATGTGATCAATCTCAATAGATACATCTGGTAGAATACTTAATAAATAGATTATTCACTGAACTCCAATCCAGAATAATACAGGATTCTGGGGGATGTAGATAGAGAAAAGGCTTTAGCTGCTCTCATGGCCCCAGCTAAGTAAGGTGGGCAGCATCACTCACTTTTGGTTATCCTAGCAACAACCTATTGAGTAACTTGAGCAGCAGCAGTTTCAGGTTTTGCCACCGTGCCTCATAACAGCTTAAATAAAAAATGTAAAAAAAAAAAAAAAAAAGCACAAGGGGAAACCGGGGATAAAACAGGAAACGTCACACCACCAGTTTGGCAGTATTTCAGATATTTAAAATAAAAAACATCAACAGTCATTGATATCAACAATTACTGATATAGACTGATATATTAAACGCTTATATCATGATACATTTTTCAGCCATATCGTTCAGCCCTGGTTCAAAGATCGACATCTAAATGCAAAGATGGATTGTCTTAATGTTTTCTCTGCCAACCAACCATGGGTGGAGTACAGATTATCGGCTAAACCAACAAATTACTGGTTAAATTAACTTTTATAATCATCATGCGTTTCTGTTGAAAGGAACAGATAACGTCAATCGGTAAATGTTCAACATTTGCATGTTTGTGACTTCACAGTATTGTGTGTTTCTGATGCCGTTCCGGTGCTTCATGTTTGTTGCTGATGCAGATGCACTGCTTACTAGTTAAAGTAGATTCCTCTTCCTTCTCTTCCACAATTGTCTCAAAAACCGACTCCACCTGCAGAAGGGATATTAAAATTAATTTTAATGAATTGAATGAGACCTTCTCCTCACCTTTCACAACTGAAGAACAATTAGAAGAAAACAAACTGCTTCCAACCAGAAAGTTGAAAAGCCCTACAGAATTTTTCCATATAAATGTACAAAGTTGACTGAAAGGATGCTTCCGATTGGAGCTTAGACTGGTGACTGTGGAGGACTTCACCCGGTCCAGCAGCAGAACTCCACTTTCATCCATGTTGAAATGAGCTTTGATCCCCTTGGACTCAGCATCGGTGTGCTTCTGGAAGCTGTGGCCCACTCCAGACAGCTTGACCGTCGTCAGGTTCAGAGAGCCGAACACACTGCCAAACACAACCATGACAAGAGATAGCTAATATTACCCCCAAAGGAATAAAGCATAAGAATCAACATATGTCAAACTTCATGATGAGAAAAACAAAAATATTTGGAAGTTTTGGAGGTTCCAAGAGCAGAAGGTGTTGAAGCAAACCTGAGGTCCTCCTGACTTAGAAAGCTGAGGTCTCCATAGTTGATATTGAAGGCAAAGTCATCAGTGTAGCGATTGAAGGTGATGACTTTCCGCTGCGGGTAGGGCGCCATCCTCTGGAACAGGATGCGCTTGTTGTGTTTCAGGGTTTTGATTCCTTCCTCTTCCTCCACCTCCCGGTTGAACTCCACCTGAACCAGTAAAAGTATACAGGGACAATTCTGATAAAGTCTGCTGTCTGAATATCCAGTCTCTAAGCAGGTCAAACCCCTACCAGAGCAGCTCTGACCTGAATGGGGAAGATGGCTGCGTCTCGGACCAGGAAGGGTTTGACCTTGAAGGCTTTACTGAGAGCAGCTGCCTGGTATACAGCTCCCATTGCCGCCGCCTCGTCTGCATTGATGTTTTTCCCCAGTTCCATTCTGTAACACAGACACACTCAGTCCTTCTAATGAAACCTCCACGGAAGCAGTGAACTTCAGCAAATCACGGAAACTTTGTTATACTTACTTCCCCACAGCTTTGAGCAGCACTTCCTGAACCTTGGGGACACGAGTGGCACCCCCGACTAAAATCACTTGCTCAATAGCTTCCTGTTGACCGAAAGACACCTTGCAGTCACAGCTGTAACAAAAGTTAACCACTGTGTGTCTACCGTTTACAATTTGTAGAAAACCACTTTTAGACATATCAACTTATATCAAACAGAAAATAGCTTAGAAATTCTATTGGTGCTGACAGGACAGAGCAAGGTGCCTGTAGCAGCAGCAGAGTGTGATGTAAATGAAGGAAGCAGCAAAGGACATACTGACCAACTTCATGTCTGCTGCTGTGAGGGCCTCCTGCACCGGCCCAGGGACTCTGTCAAACAGATCAGCACACAGTTCTTCAAACTCCACTCTGGTCACCTTCGCTTTGAAATCGATATCATCCATCAAGCCTTCCACCTGTAGGATGAGGGGACCATGGCAACCAGTTAAACTTGGATCAGCTTAGTTACAACATTTGCAATACGGGTTCACCCAGCCCATGAGTGTTCATCGGGGCTATCAGGGCTCACCTGGGCCATGAAGTCAACATTTGCACTCAGCACCGTCTTCAGCCTCTGTGCCTCTTTAAGGAGCTTGGCCATGGCTCGGTGGTTCTCTCTCACATCCTTCGGACTCTTCTTCTGGTCATTGAACAGCTTGGCCAGGTGGTCCCGCAGCCGCAGGTCCATCTCAAAGCCCCCCAGACTTCGATCAAACCTTCAGCCAGATGACATGAAGCATAGCTTGGTCTACGTAGTGAAGCCACCAGCAGCCACATTCATCAGGGATCATTGCACTCACCCAACTCCCCGGATCTGTAGCTGTGGCTGGGTACCAGACTCTTTGGTTTTCACTGTCTGATATGAGACTATGGTGGCCGTCGTGCTTCCTGAGCCCATATCATAAAACATGACGTTCTGTAATGAAACAGGTAGAGCCTTACACTCCGCTCTGAGCTATACAGATGGCATAAACCAACAGATACTGCTGGGGTCACCTGGGCTGTGCTGTCTATGTCTTTCCTTCTGAAAACACCATAATTTAAGGCCACGGCTGTATTGTCATTGATGAGCTGAAGGACCTTTAGACCTGCCATCTGTGCAGCATGCAAGACTGCCCTTCGCTCTGCCTGGTTAAAAAAAGCTGGTACGGTGATGACTGTGTCTTTGATTGGCTGTTCTGTAAATTTCACAGAAAGAGGAAGAGTGTCCTTGATCTACTCATGTGTTAATCAACAATCAATCAACTTTCTCAAGCAAACTGACCTGCAAAGTCCTGAGCCAACCCACGTGAATAATTCAACATCATCCCCAGCAGCTCCTCAGGTGAGTAATAAGTTTCTCTGCCAGCGAAAGAGACAGGACAGACAGAAATTAGTAACACGCCCTACTAAAAAACAACTGATGTCTCCATGCCAACTACAACAGCATCCTGACTGTGTTTTTATGACATTATGCTGACAAGAGAATCAAAGTAATAACTCAGTCAGGCCCTGTGAAACATACACCCTGTTGCATCTGAACACATAAAGACACATTTTTTAGACATGCAAATAATGTGTTTTTAATTTATCTTAGTGAAAAAAAGACCATTTAATTAACCACAAACAATCATTTTCAGTACTTCAACAGAACCACCAGAGGGAGTCCTTCTGACCTACAAAAAGAACATTTGAACAATGACAGAAATTTACCATGGCTACATTTTTCTCCTCAACAGTCTCATAGTCGTAAGTGTAATAAGACAAGGGTTATGAAAGAATTATTTTACTATAAATTAATTCAGGTTCAAGTTTAGAATGAATATGGAGACATGCCAAACATTTATGGAAAAAAAATCATGCCAACGCTTCAAATATTGTAAGAGAGTAAAGTTATTGATAATGTCCTGACATGACGCCTCAGTCATGTTTATCAAATGAACCAAGACTGTTCTGTATTAACATTTTAAAAAGTGAATTTATTTCAGTAGTTTATGGAAACAAGCTATATAGCAATTTTATATAACTATACAGCATTTCGGTTACTTATGATCATTTTCTCCTTAAAGCTGACCAAAAGACAACATTTAAGATTAGAATATTACATCACACCAACAATAAAAAAGACTTGACACAAAATTGTGCCCCAAATAAAACGTAAGTTGCAAAGTTCAAATTGCACCGACTCAGAATCGGTCACTTTCCAAGTCAATCTTTGTACTTCAGAGAACCTAATGTACCAATATTAAACTATGAGTCTGTTTATTAAAGTAAGTACATATAAGCAGATCCAGATGGAAACAAAACTTCTTGAAATACTTATTCAAAATTAAAGCAGTTTTAAGTCTTTTGCAACACTTTATTTCAAGGTTTGAAGCATGCATGCAAACCTTGGAATAGAAACTCAACATTTGTTTTTCTTGCTGGTCTCCATCAACTCTTCTGATAAAGCTGCTATTTTCAAGATTAAATAGAAGCAGGAATATATAAATGTGGATACTGAAAAGAACAGAGAAGTGAAAACTCACAGGGAGCTGTTGAAGTAAACTGTTCCTCTCACTGGGTCACCCTGCAGCTGATGCTCAGGGAAACATCTCTGATAGACCTTCACCTGCAGGTTGTCATGTTTTTTACCCAGAAGGCTTTGCAGATGTCTATAAACCGTTTTGGGATTTTTCACAGACTGAAAAACAAACAAAGGACAGCATACAATAGTGATGTAATTGCCTAAGTGATGGCCTGAATCTGTCTGAAACCCGAAGGAACATCATACCACTCCTAATGCACTGTCTCCAAACAATCTCTCGTTTTCCTTTAGACAGACCACTGTGGGCGTTTTCCTTCTCGACTCCCTGAGGAAGAAGGATTTCATATTCCTAAGTACATGTTTAAAGACTGCAAAGCATTTCTAAATGTTTCACCAGGATTGTCTGATCATAATGAAATAAAATTAATCAATCAGTTCCTACTCACCTGTTGAGAACAATCTCCATTGGCACACCAGGTTTTACTATTGCCATCTTCATCCACTCACTCCCAAGGTCAACTGACATCACAGCTACAGTCACTGGAAACACAAAGAGCAGCCTTACATTCAGTTGGGAGGGCTTTAATCAGTGAAACAGTTTGGTCAAATTATTCCATCTATGACAAATCAAACATTTTGTGATAAATCCTCATCAAATCTACCAGGAACTGATTTTCTTTTTCTTTTCATGCTGAGGGATGATTACCTGTGAGAGAAGGGAACACGGCAAGAAGGAGAGAGGTGAGAGCAACCACCATCTGGATCTTTATTCCCATTATGAGCTGTAGAGACACAAAAAGATTCCAGCTAAAAATACATAACAATTTAATTAGTTTGCATTTGGAACATAAAACTATTTTTTTTCTGCTAAAATATATAAATTAGTTGGAATTATATTACATACATTATAATTATAATATGGCATAACATTCAATCATGTAATGTTTAGTTTTATTTTAACTTTAAAGCAGCAAGTTAAGAAAAAAATATAGAGACTTTGACTGCTGATGGTCCAGAAAAATTATTTGTAAGGAAGAGCAACTATGGGAGCCTTGTTTCATCCAGCTGACTGGCAGTGTGCAGGAACAGATGTGTCAATTTAAGGTCTGCAAATTGTAGGGAGAGTATGATGGAAAATGCTGGTGGTGGTGGCATGGAAACTGTAGCATTTTAATTCCTTGATACATTATAGAATGAGGACCCTTTGCTGAACAACTAGCAAATGGGCCTCCTACTGAACATGATGAAACATTCATTTTCAGACTGCATGCATCCATGCTTCTGTAAACATGATGCAATATAGGAGAAGCTCAATTTCTTGTTACATAAAAAATAAAAACACCATGGCAACAACTGAGTCTCAGGTCAGCTTTTCAATTAAACCTGTTATCACCCAGCGTTACAGATGCACGGGTTTATTTCTGAGAAACAGACACTGCTGTTCTGGTTTTATATCTCGGATCACATTTAGTCCAGTTACTTGACTATTACTAATATGGCGTAGTAAGATGACATCACCTTTATCACATCAGGGACTCCTCTCAGTTCACCTGCATCCACCCAGCTGTGCACAGCTGCAAAAAACATTACAAACACCACCAGGATGTGTTCTGGCTGAACCTTGGATTTTAGCAATAAACAGTGAACGCACTAAGAGTATGAGGTCAAATGTCAGGAGAGGGAGGAGGGAAAATGTCAGTGCCCCCTTTACCAGAGAGATTCAGTTTCACATCCGAATTAACAGCCTACACATAACTTCTGATCAAACACGACGACGACGTTACAGATGAGAAATGGTCACTTGACTTTTCCATGCAGTCTGTTTGGCTTTCAGAAAGCAGAGGCATGTGCTGTTTGAAGTAAAGGCAAGTTTATGGTGAAGTTAAGTTTAATCGTACCGGTAAGGTTTAGCTTGGAAGCAGAGAACGAGTAACCTTTAGGTCCTACTATATGTATGAACACAAACTCATCCTCCACAAGTAATACAGTATGAAGCGGAAACAAGGAGCAAAGTAAAGGCGCACGAGCAGCTAGCTACTCGGAAGCGGAGCAGGAACTTACGTTCTTCAGGTGATCAGATGAAGCTGTACAGGAGCTTCCACACAATATACTTTCAGCGGGGGATTCTAACACTAGTTCACTACGTACTGCCTTGATTTGCAGTCTCTCTGCTGTCCCAGTTGGGAATTTTAGTTCCCCTTATCACAGGTTTACTGGTTGCAGTCGGGCCCAGAACGCGGCGTTACCTCATTGGATCTACCGAAGATGTAGCCGGTGAAAAACTGCTGTCATGCCAACAATATTCAGACGCGCCGTTTCCGGCTCGCCCTAAAATACTGAGAGAGAGTAGGATGACTCTGTGGTATATTTTACATGGAGTCGTTTATATGATGGTAGCAGCTGTAATCTCTAGTGAGAAACGTGGTGACTTTGTAACCGTGCTTTATTCTAATGATAAAAAAAATAAATACTGTACCCTTATTGTGTAAGGAGAAGTCTATATTTCCGGTTTGTAAATTCTGCAGTTTTGTCGTAACCGGAATTTTTTCTACAGGTCTAGTCCCGCCCACTTTATTCCACGCAATGTTGAATGATTGGTCCACGAAACGTGAGCGAAGCTAAAAAAAAAAAAAAAAAAAAAAAAAAAATAAAACCTATTGGTCCACGTTCAAGTGACGACATTTCCAGGTAACAATTTGACAAACCGAATGTTCCCTCATGAATTAATGTCATACAGTAGTGACAGAGAAATCTCATATTAATCCCCTTATAGAATTAAAGTGTAAAAGAAAAATCACTTTGGAAAAAAATCACATCTGATAAAAAATATAAAAACATGTAACGTTGAAAATTATATCCTTATGCCATCACCCTAATTTCTGTCAGTTTGGAGTCTGGATTCAAGATGGCCCACTCTAAAATGCAAAATGCAAATATCACTTTCTGTCAGAGTGCAGAGTGTGTGTGTGTGTGTGTTATATCAAATTAACCAGGCTTAGGAACAACATTGGGCTTACCTATAGACTATGGTTCAATAGTCAATTTTTAGGTCTAGTGGTTTGCATTGCGTTTACAGTGTTTCAGAATGATATGGGCAGAGGGGGAAGGAGAAAACATCCAGTAACCACAGCAACTATCACATTACCAAGTCCAAGAAATAAAACCCTCTGCAGTGAGAACTAAACATGTGGACCATGTACATGTGGTGTCTCCTCTACACCGTGTGTTGCCCTATTTCCATCATTCTTAAAAGCAACACAATGTTTTCATAAAAATTCCCTCCAATCCCTCCAAAACCAAAAAAAGAAAAAAAACAAAACAAAAAAACAAGGAGAAATCATATTGGCTATGTAAAGAGATAAACAAATTAGGTTTATTTGTGAAGTAACAAAAACTGTGGCCAGTTGAAATAAATCTCTGATCAACCTCTGTGACAAAGCAGTAGGATCCAGTTAACTAAGATGAGAAATTGTGACATAAATAAAACTACAACAGACACATCAATGACCTTTACAACTAATTCAGTTTTAGTGATTAAGAGTATCATAGATAATTTTACTACTGACAAATGGTTTGTATGAAATGACAAAAAAGACAAAAAACACAAAATCTAATGACTTTTGCAATATTAACTACACAGTTCATGAAGAGCGTCATATTGATGAAAGTGTTAAATCACTTTGTGCAAGAATTACAAGCAAGTACATATGAAGCAATGTGATTCAGGAAATTTATTGAAGGATAATGTATTCATAGAGCAGTTTCCATAAGCAGGCATGTGTCTTTGCTGATAAATGAGTGACCATCCAATGCGACTGTAAGGCTGAGTGGTTGGTCTGAGCATTGAGAACACAATTAAAGACTGAGATGTCTAGCAGTTTCTCTTGGTGTGGATCAGCAGGTCTCGCTGCAGGTTGACTTCTAGACTTCCAACAGTTTTGCTCCCTGGAGGGTCAGTTACCAGCGTCAGTTTGTTAAACACTCCTCGACCAAAATAATCAGCCACCACAGAGAAACCATCATTGGAACTTCGGAGCTTAAAAAAAAAAAAAAAAAAAATTATAGAACATGTGCAGAAGACAACGTAGAATATAAAATATTCAAAGTCTGAGGAAGATACCTTTAGAAATAAGTTAAAGGCAAAAAAAGGTTAAACATGTCACCAGAGAAATAAGTGATTAGAATATTTATATGTTTTCCTTGTCGTCGTTACCTGTCGATTGAAATGGTCATGGAGATCCCGTTTCTGGTCTTGAGCGCGCAGCAGATCCATGACTTTGCGGTTTTCTGGAGTGCATGTTGGACACTCGGCATCACTCTCTGCATAACTTTCAAAGCAGTGCTGGTGAAAGGAGTGACTACACAGGAAGTGTACAGATGGAAGCTCCAAGGGGCTGTTACACATGTTGCACTTAGTCTTCTGGAATATCTTGGCACTGTGTGGAAATTTTTTTCTGTTAAAAGCCCTACGAGAGCTGCAGGGATGAGTTTTTTACCGTTATTTGACTCACCTCGCCTTCAGCTCCTGGATTTCAGAGCGGAGATGAGAAGTTTCCTGACGGTACTGGCAAATTTTACGCTCGTCATCTTCTATCTGCTGGCTCTCTCTCTGCAGCTTATTGATGAGGTAGTCTTTGATAACCGACAGAGTAGCCGTTGAGTTGTGTGCCAGTGTCTGCACGACTGATTAGACAATAACTAGTTATTCGCTGCTGAGCATCAACCCTCAGAGAAAATAAAGCCACATCCCGCATAAATTTACCATGGCAACAAAATCAGACGGAGACAGTAAGGTTCTTAAGCCAAACAAAGTCCAAAATATTTTAGCCTATCTTAAACACAATGTATCATTAAACCAAACCAACAACAAGTTACGCATTACAATTTCAGAGCACACTGTGTTATGAATACATCGAGCAGCTCACCAAGTAATGGAGGCATGAGGTTTTTCTGGTCAATGTGATGTAGGACCTCACTGATATAGGTCTTACAGTCCTCCTCTTTTCTGGCAAAGTATCCGAGAGCTTGCTCCCAAAGGCAGCCCTCCAGGTCTCCGTAACGTTTGCAGGCATCTACAACTTTTCCATACTCCTCATTCTGCATGTGGTAATGCATGATTTGCTGGTAACTGCACATACACATACATCATTAAGTTATGAAATGAAAACACAATCAAGATGTTCTTTGTAATGAACACCTGCTCATTCAGATCACTGTTCATTCCGCAGGTTATTAAACAGTAATGAACTCTCTAAATGACAAGATTACATTTCTCTTCCTGAGCCACTATACAAGTAACAAGTGAAGGGTCACTTTCACTCATTACACAGATCAACAGCCATATTCAGGGTGTGAAAGACCTTTGGGAATTTGCTAAGGCAGGGCAAGTACAAAATACTTAGAAAATGGTGCCACATAGCCACACCTGTCCCCCAGTGTGTGAATGTTGGCTTCACACAGGTTTTCCTTTCACATCCCACAGCCAAATGTTAGTGGTGCATAAGTCCATTGTCTTCCAATGGACATCTACTCTGATACAAATATTCAGCCACATTCTCTTCTAGGTGGTGCTATGGTAGAAAATATGGTTTCAGCTTATAACTCCACAACTACAAGTCACATTAGCAAAAAATTATGTGGGCAAAGTTTCTTAGAAAGATTCTCCAACAGATTACCATGGTTGGCAGCTAGCCACTGTGCAAAAGTTGTTGGACTTGTTGGATATTATTTCCCAGAGAGCCATGAAAATTGCATTTGCCAAAACAATCAACTCTGAGCCAAATAAAACCAGATTTTGGATTTTTTTATTTTTTTAGCCCAACTGCAATATAGGTGGCACTGTACAATTGCAAAATTTGTTACCCAAAAACTGATGATCAGATTTTCACCAAGCTGTGCACCACATAGGCCTTACCTCATAACCTTAATATGGTCATGGTTAGTTGAAGTGTGGGAGGCTCATTTACAAAAATGTTGAAAAATACTTCATCTGGCCTCCAAACTTTTAGAACAAAAAATTCTAAAATCACACGTTCATCCAAATGAGCACTTTTACCCTTCGCTTCCCTGCTGTTCGGCCGTTACATCTGCTGTGCTCCTCTTAAGCATCGCGCTAAGCATGCGAGAGGTTAAACCTGAACCGTTTTTGCATCTGCCTTTTAAACAAGCTCTTCCCTTGCATTTTCAGTCATACTGCTTCCCTGCTTCTCTGATTACGTCTTGAACAAGCATTACTGTCGTTGGTGGCTAGACTGCAGATCTCTATTGCAGGCCAAATTATAATAATTTCTGTTGCATACCAGATATAAACACGCATTCCTAAAAAAAAAAATATTTGTAATATTTAATAAAAAAAATTCTGCCTGTCTGTTCTGGTTTGAGCACACATGGCTAATTGATGAGCCCTGCTCTCTAGAAAGACTTAGAGTAAACTACTTACAGTTTGCCTTTTTCATACAGGTAGAGGACACCTTCTTTAAAGTTGTGCATCTGGCAAAGGACCAAGGCCTTATCAAACACAGTGTTGTCACTTCTGAGCAGCGAAAGGGCTTCTCCCTGGCACACCTTTTTTTTCTGTCAAATATACGTGGATTAGAAAACCTAATCAGCAATAGCAAAGTTAAAAAATGTTTGAAAATACAGACATCTATGTTAAGGAAAAGCTCATGTGTTTTCATTTAAGAACATCTTAAAAAGTGGCTCTAGGAAAGCCAAAAATGTCAACATTGAGTAAAGATATATAGATTTTAAGGTGGTTTTACACGTTTCTTATTCGAAAGTGTTTCTGCGTTTTTTGTTTTTTTTATTTATCCATGTATATATTATTGTGCTTTAACATCAACCTGCCAATGGGACTAGAGATGGTAATTAGCAACTTGACTATAATCTCATGTATTTACATGTAAATGTCCATAAATACATATTGTCCTGTTTCTAAAAAAAATAAACTTGAAAATGTGTTGGTTTGGCACTAACCTCAGGGTCTTGTTCGTGTGCCCAGTCTTGCAGTCGGAGCTCCAACAGTGTGTCATACACACCCTGGGATGAACGAGGGTCCACATCAATCATATGCTCCAGGAAGGCTTTCAGCTCACGAGGGTTATTGGCAAAAATTGGGATGAATTCTTCAGAATTTGCCTTGAATTAAAATGACAAAAGTCACACATGAGAGTATTACTGACAGATGTTGGCGACTAGCCAGACTGGTTTACAGTGGAGACAAAAAATAATAATACACCGGGACCTTGTTAAGCAGACTACTGTCCAGGCTGACTTTTTCCATCAAGTTTTCATTTGGATGATAGTTGGTGCATAAGCGCTTCAGGAGCAATGTGGTGCCTTCAGGAACATGGTGCATGAGTGTCTTGCCATAACGCTTCATGTTGCTTTCAGTTTGCTCAAAAGGCAGACGGCCAATGTACCGCAAACCTTCCTGATAGTTCTGCAGTGGGAACAGAAAGAGAGTTATGAGCGAGCGAAATATAATTGACTATATTTCATCAGCGGGAAACCGTAGGTATAGATTGAGCTGCTATAAAAGCAACCGTTAAATACACATTTAACATGCTCCTAAAGAAACAGCAACTGATAAAAGATCAGAGGAAAAAAACATTCCCACATTAGGAAGCTACTTTTGCAGATTCTTTTGAATCAATTCATAACCATACATATGTTCTCCAGAAGATCAGGTCAACCTGACACACACGTCACCTTCAGGTCCTCCAGCTGGATCTTCAGGTACCACTCATGATGCTGGTGGCGTTCAGCCAGAAACACAGCATGACTGTGGTATCCAGCTTGGCGAAGAACCTTGATAGCAATCTCAACATCAAAATGGACCTCACTCTCGCTGCTCTGTGAAAATACAGACACACAAACATTACTCAAAGACTAATCTGTTTACCACAAAAGTCACATGAAAAAGCAACAATGACACAAGTCAGAGCTCTTTTTCATTTATTTTTCACTATTGACATTAAATTCTCACTAATCACCTTGATAAACTCTTCCAGCTTGGAGCTGTCTTTGAGTTTTGTGTAGCAGTTTAGCAGCAGCGTGGTGTGGTCTGCATTGGCCAGAGACTGGCGATGAAGGGCCTGCAGGTATGCCGTCAGGTTGTGGATCCTTTGGGCATCCAGAAATTTCCTAATGACATACGAAGGCTCCAGCTTCCCAGTGGTGCTGATTGGAAACATGGTAAACCAAAAAGATACAGTTAGGTCCTGACTGAAAGAAACATCAAACACCAACAAAAAGCAATACATGCTTTTGCTCTGGAAACAGATTAAAGATAAACTACCGAATATATTGCTGGATGGCACCATCATGATCTCCCTTCAGGTACAGATGATCGCCATACTGTCGAAAGATCTCTGACAGACCGTCACTGTCCAGATGCTGGCTTTTAGCCAAGTTTATGGCCATGACAAACAAGTTCTTCTTGAACAGCATCTTGAAAGACAACGAGACATTAGTGTTAAAAAAGTTTGAGAAGCTTATTGAACTTCTCGAAGGAAGTGAATGATCAGCAATTAATGACCTCCAGTTTTGTCTGCGTGTCCTTCTCTTGCAGAATAAACATTTTCCCGTCTCGGGTCAGAATGTAGAAGGATCCCCATTCTGCCAACACATCAATGACATCATCGAATGAGGCGCTGTAGGCGATGAATTTGTTGTCCAGGTCATAGATTGTTAAAACTTGCTTTTCTGACAGTGAGCTCTCGCCGCTGCCAAACCCTGATCTGGGGATAAAAACAGACAGTCAGCAGCTTCCTTCGTGTGCACTGCTTATTAATCATGGAAGTCTGATGTTAAACCATATCTCCTAACACTTTTAAATATCTTACACCAAATATTGCAGACATTTATGCAGTCCTACATTTTGAGTAGACGTTTCAAGACATCTGCTAGTCATGTTTCTGGCAGACGTCTGGCAAAGCACACTGAACCATCTCTTCTGGAATGTGTTACTAGTTGACACATCAGCCTAACAATCCTGTAGCTGGTAAAAACTTGACAGAACAGTGGTTTTGCAGAATTTCCTGGGTTCAAATCCCGACTTGGGGTATTCTTACTGAGGTTTATATCCAAACTCCACACCCTAATCTAACTCTAACCCTCTGGTAAGAGTGTGTGTGTCTGGTTGCTTGTCATATGTTTCTAGCAGACATCTTTGCTGATAAATCGATAAATGAATGCAACCCATGCAGGGGTAGATCCTGCCCCGCCTCTCTCCCAATGACCTCTGGAGCTAGCCTCCAGAGCGCCCCAGTACCCCCTTGGAGCTCCCTACCTAGAAACCTATAAATTAATTAATTCCATGATAAAAATCTTTGAATGCATCAAAAGTACCATTACATTTGACAAATCAATCAGATTTCGGCTCTTACTTGTTGGGTGACTTCACATCTTTGATCAGCAGGAACAAGTATCCCCGGTGCCAATGGGTCAACAGCTTGTGGCCATCGAAAGCAAAGCAGGGCCCTCGCTCATCAGGCTGGTACAGATAAACACATTCATCCCCAGCCACAATGAACTGGGAATCCTGAGACGGATCTGCCAGGGATGAGCAGCACAGGGCGCAGCCATGGGTATCCAGCTCTACCTTCGGATACTCCTTGTTAGACAGAGTGTAGCACTAAGCAACAGAAAACAGGAACACAACCAATTTGTTCAGAATTTGTTGGATCAACTGGCAGATACAGTCTGCAATGCTTTAGGGGAATGCCGACTTACAAAGACTTTTTCCAAAGTGGCAACAAACAAATGTGTAACTTTTGCCATTTGGCGGAAGGCCAGGCCTGTGACGGGGGAGCTTCCCTCATGCAGAGTCAGAGTTTTACTGTGACGGTCTCTGGTGATGTCCCCTTTGGTTAAAACCACGCTGCCATCTGTGAAGCCTGCCAAGAAACACCGTTACTGAGCGGAGAGAGTGGAACATGTGACTTCCACAAGTTTAAGGCAGAGGGAGAGCTGTCTCACCTATAGCCATGAAGTTCAGGTTCTCATGTACACTGAGACAAGATACTTCAGCTGGTTTATTGCTGGGAACTGCAGGAAAGATTCTGGTGCAGAGTGGATTCCCACTGTCTCTCTTGTCAAGATTCCAAACCTTCACCTGAAAAATAAGACATTATCAGTCTGGTGGGTTCTCATTTTGTACATGTCTGTGGTTCCACTAAGGAAAATACAAATTTTTGTAAACTGGCAAAGAAGTGTATAACAATTACAATATAGTATCTCAACTATTGTAACTGAGAAACCATCCAAGTTAGTGTTATGATTGTAAAAGGCCACACCTACCAGAGGATTAATGCCATGTTCATCCTGTCCCACTGATACCAGGATACTGTGCTGTTTCAGCTGGAACAAATGAGTCACCCGCAGCTTGTACGCCTGGAATGACGTCAACTGCAGGGAGCGCGTCATCAGCCAGATCTGTCCTTCCATATCTGATATAATAGAGTTAAGAATTTGTATGCCAAGATATGTTAGGAGAGAACTGATCAAAGTGTTAGAAGTGAACTGATTTATTTAGACATCTTTAATAGTGGCCAACATTCCAGTCTTTCAGAACTCTTACTAAACCCTTTAGTAAGAGGTGACATACATCCTCCTGGCATATTCCTACACTACTCACAAAATTTAGCTTTCAGTTGAACTAGATAACAATGCCTCATGCTGTTCACAAGTCGACTTATCATCTGCTGGTGTGTAGCGTCCCTGGGCCACTGAGATTTTGGGGTCCAGAGTTACGAGCCCTAACACTGTGACTGATCCCAGAGCAGTTCTATAGGATTCAAGTCTGGAGAAAGTGTGGAACCCTCCATTCAAGATACCCAGTCTCCAGCAGCCTTTTCCTATTTTTGTGACCTCAAAAAACTGGAGAATTGTTGTCCAATGCTAAGTATTATAAATCTTCATCTTCACTGAGCTTGACATTGACATTCAGTTCTGGGATTTAATCCAAGTAAAGTAAGTTTTGTTTACTCATCACCAGGCCAAGTCTATTTTTTACCTGAAAGACGGAATTTACAGCTCAGCAGGGGGGGGGATCGTGTGGAAAGAAAGACTGCCTCACAAACCAATTCACGCATTCTCCTTGTAGCAACAATACACATCAGCAGACTGGCTCTTATTAGCCGGCCGGACTGCTCCGTTGTTAGCCTGCACCATTCAGTCATAAAATTACAGCCCCGACTTCCTGTTAAATTAACTACAACCAATTTCTGTGACTGATGTTCATGTACTTCTAAGGTCTGCCTTTAACCGACAAACTTAACACCGGAGTAGCATCGTCTGGCTAAACAAGGATATCTCCCAGAACAACATGTCCCCGGCCGGAGTCACTCGCCGAGATTCTTTTAGGAAGAATAAAGGTTTTTCCGCTATCTGCAGGATCCTTCACCGTGTCCTTATCAAAGAAGACAAATTTTCTCCACTGTAGAAATGCTGCCATTATCATAAGGTTAGCCACCTAGTGACCGTAGAAATTCATCATGTGATGGCAGTCACGTGACATGACGTTTCTTCTTTTTCTTTCTTCGTTTTCTGACAGTTTACATACTTTGTGTATTACCGCCATCAACTGGACGGAGATGTAATTCAGAAATTCATTTTTTCCTATATATCTACGTTAAATAACTATATTATATACATACTATACACTCACACACGCATACTAAATCCTCTCAGCTAATTTTGCATCTTTTAAATATTTAATGAGTGCTTGAATTATATCATGGGATTGATGCTTCCCTAATAAATTAGATATAGTTACTGAAATCCCCATTACCCTTTCCAATTCTTTCCTCGCTTTTATATATTTTCTACAATAAATCAACACATGTTCTACTTCTTCTGTTTCCCCACGATAAGAACAATCCTGATGGATGTTTCCCTATTATTTTTAAACCACAATATAAATTAGTATTCTGAATCCTCAACCTGTTAATCCATATTTCCTCTCTCCTATTCATTATACTATTTCTTATGATTACCACCTTCTGTATTTTATGTAAATGCCTTCATCTTTCTTCTAAATTCAATCTCTCCTGCCATATATTATTTATTTTATCTTCAATAATTGCTTTTATTTCTGCTCTACTGAGAGAGAGATTATATTCAATTTATCTTGCCTTAACTGCTTCTTCAGCCAACTTATCTGCTTTCTCATTACCTGCAATTCGTTTATGTGCTGAACCCATGTGAATTGAATACTTATCTTTTGTTGCTTTATACCATATATCATATAACTTCATCTAAAAGATCTTGGCAGCTTTCAGATTTTCCACTTAGAATACTAGTTAGGCATGACATTGAATCTGAACAGATAACTACCTTACTGGGCTTCACCTCCACCACCCATTTGCAATGCCAAAATAATTGCCAACAACCCTGCTGAAAAAAATGATACATTTTTCGTGGTTCTTTGTACAAAAAGTTTTGTTTAGGAATATATACAACTCCTGTTTTACTATTTTTACCATCTTCTTTTGATGCATCTGTATATATTTGTGTAATTTTCATTCATTATTTCTAAATACTGCTGAATAATATGATAAAAAACCTTCACAGGACTGTTCTATTTTTTTGGTTTCTAAATTTACTATTGGGTTGACATGACGTTTTTTTCTTCTTCGTTTGAGAGGTGGGTGAGAGGAAGAGCGGAAGAAGAGCAAGTGAGAGAGTGTTTGTATATTTTTTCTATCTTTGGCTTTTTTCTTACCGTTTTTAACTGGGTATTTATGTAATTTGTTTAGTTGTGATTTTGTGTTAGTTTGTCACGTTTTAAAGTTTTGTTGTTGTTGTTGTTGTTGTTGTTCGGGTGTGGCAGTCAGGCGTGCCTGGCGAGAAGGACCTTGCTGCAACAAACAGAAAGGGGTGGGGACGGACCGCTGTCAGTCTCATACCTTATTTGGAAATGGGACCATTGCAATCGGGAAGTGAAGGGGGCGCTATTTCCTATACTTCCGTTTGTATTTTCTTTTGAAATCTGTGATATATTTTCACCTTTAGGAAGGAGTTTCAATCTCAGAATGTATTTGAAGTTCTTTCTACTATTAACTTCACGACAGTTCACAGTTTTTAGCAAATTCTGTAGCTTTCGGTGTACTTCTAAATCTGCTCCTTAGTAGCATCTTTTCGGGCTTGCCACTGCCTTTAGTGGTGTGGGGGTGGTAGCACAACTAATCTAATTACATTACTAAATCAGAATACCACAAAGTCTTTATTNATTCCTGGACAGTCAGCTCAACTTTGCTGAAAACACTGACTATATCTTTAAGGACCGTTCTCAGAGACTTTACCTTTTAAGAAGACCTTGGGGTTACCCAACTTAAGGTTGTATATAACCTCTAGTTAGGTAGAGGTTGTTGAGTTAAAATGTTAAAACTAAACATTTTAACTTGAGTTTTAACTCATCTCAAGTTAAAGCAACATTTTAACTTGAGTTTTAACTTTTCATCTCTTCGGCTGGTTTGGTCACATGAGCTGCAGACTAACAGACAATCTTTTAAGAATACTTTGAATGGTAGGTAAAATAGTAGGTAAATGGTGGTGAAACCAAAAACAACTCTGTCTCAACTGTTTGCTTAAAGAACATGAAAGACGGCAAGAAATATTTTAGCAGGGAGCATCCATCCTCATTATTTATCAGTTTGAACCTCTGAGCTCATGAAGGTGTTACTGTGTTCCTCTAGTAACTAAGAACATCTATTAGAAGTCATTTATTGACAGTGCAATAATTATTCTTAACCAAACTAAATAATATTTACCTATAGCATGCTAAGTGTTTTGCTCTATTCACAAATTGTTGATAATCAATCATATCAATCAGTCAATCATATCTTTATTCCAGACACAAAAAAGGTCCATAGAAAAAAGGTAAAAACAAGCAAAATAAGAGAAAAAACATGACATATTATTCACTGAGTCAAAATAAATGATGACTCCAATGATTGCATAATTTTAAAGAGAATCT